CATACAGAGAAAGACTTCCCTTGGCTAATTATTTAGTCAGCAATCATTCCCCTTGTCCCCGCCATGAAACGAAGATGCTGAAGGAATATAATAAATATAGGCTGGGGTCACCGACCAGGAAAATGTATCCAGGKTGGGTGGCCTAGGCCTGAGGACTTGCATGGCAAAATAACATTTAACAGCATCTCCAGAAAATAAAATTTATGAAGATTTGAATAAATTTTCGAGCAGAATTTCCAGTCCCTACAAGACAAGACCAATGGCCTGAATCAAGTTACACTGTCCAATACCTCTCCCTGGCTTTAGAAGTGATTAAATAGCTGGAAGAGTGCGAAGAATTGCTTTTCCCGTTGTTATCTGTCTTTGTGCAATTCCTCAAAACCCCGGKTTGAGACAAAGACCACTCCTGAGGTTGAGCCTCCTCTCTCCCAAAATGGCAGTTAAAGATTCCCCCCTCTTTCCTCAGGCAGCGCTAAAGATTCCCTGGAAATGCAGCTTCCCTGGAGGCTTCCTCCCTGCACTGGCTCACACGCTTGAGCAAATCAGCTTTAGGCAGAGGCAGCTGCAGGGTTTAGTTYAAGAAAATCTACCTTATTCACTACGTGACGCTGCCGCCGACACCCCTTTCTGCACAGCAACTGCCCGAGTTGCTTCCTCGCTCTTTTCCAGGCTGCTCCAGACACCCTCCTCTCACTTGAGGTTATAAAGGGGAATTGCAAGCGTGCGGCCCTTGCACTTTTTTGCCTCGAAATACCAAAAATAACAGAGCTGGGAGCGTAGTTTTTGAGCAGCCCTGCGTGGAAGACACCCCCTGTTTCATTTTTCCCCCGGTGCAATCTGTGTTTTCTCACCTGCATCYCGCGTCATGCGGCGCTCCGGCCTCTGGACCGCGTCGGTCCTCGGGAAGCCGCAGGCTCCACGCCTTGGGAGCCATCTGCTGGCACCGTCTCCGGCACGGGAACCAGAGCAGGGTTCGGTTGGTGCTGGGCGGCTGTGTGTGCGGCGCGCGCCACGTCCCAGCGAGCCTGGGCCATGAGCAGGCGAAGCTCCAGGTGGCCCGAGATGCCAGCAGGTGTGAGAGGCAGCTCTATTTTACCATACGGGACAGTGGGTACCAAAGATGCCTCCTATTTACGCACGCATGCAGCCACAGATGTATGAAAAATCGCTCTGCGCTATCGCTTTCGGGGCAGAGCCGAGCGATTTTTTAGGTCTGCACTCTGCCTTTAATCCCCTATTCTTTAAATGGAAGCTATTAAGCTTTCCATCTAAGGCAGCAAGGGTCTCTTTATTATAACAGAGCTTCATCTCATGTACTTTAAAAGTCAATTTTTTAAAGTTGCCATTTATATGTATCATTCGCCTCCCGTGCTTTAGATAGTGAAGCACATTAATTTGCATTTTTTACACTTTCGAGTTGATATGCCTTCAAATCATTTCTAAATATTAGTTACTTTTGCCTGACTGATTGTAAAAAACTGTTTCTACCGCATGCGAGCAATGACATTTCTGAATAAAAAATTAATTACACGATGAGGAGTGAAACGTTCCCTGCTTTCAGCGACGCTTCTCCGGGCTGCTGTGTTGTTTCCTTTGCGGGGAACTTGGACGGGCGCCCGTGGCACGGCCGCTGCCCGAGCAGGCGGGCGGGCGGCGCGGCTCGGCCGGGCGCTATAGGCGGCCACGTATTGATGCTGTATGTTACCGGGGAGAGGCGCGCAGGGCTCGCAGGCAGGGCGCTGAATGCGCGACGAGCGGCTGCTGTTTCACGGAGCGGGTGGATCGAATGATGCCGGCAGGTGCCAGGGCTGGGAAAGTATCTGCTCCGCGCGCACGCGGGGCTCGCGGCTGCCGTATGCTCATGGGCTTCATGGGAAATTCATGGGAAGAAAATCCATCAGGAGCCACCCCGACACTGCCCCTTGTCCCTGAGCTGTCCCACGTGCCCAAGGTTGTAAGCGAAACAGAGCTGTAACCTTCYCCCGGTGTCCTGCCCTGGGTCTTCCTCCCCCTGCCAAAGACAGGGCGTTGGGCCACGTGGGCCCTTGGTGGGCTCCATACTGATGTTCTCATCCTGCCACGTTACATGGTCATGTCAGGGAGCAGAGCGAGATGTGCCAGCGCAGTGTCCTCCGTGGGCATCCCAAGGGATGTCCAGCTCACAGGACCGGGCACTTGTCCCGCACAGTGTCCCATCTGCTGAACTGCTGCTTGAGCTTTACTGCCTGCCTCTTCCCATGGAACAAGTGGCAGTATGTCCGCATCCGGGGTTGGACCCCTCTCCAGCCCAACACGTGGGTACATCTTGGCCTTGCACTCTTTGTCACTCTTTGCGTTACAAATAGCTAAGGGCAAGGTGTCCAAAGACAGAGAAGGCAAGCACTGGGAATATGAGGATGTTACATTGCTTCAGAGAGAGGGGACATCCCAGCCGCCCAAGGAAGCCGTGTCACGCAGGGAGCAGGTCCCGGGCCCTCGCCGAGCAGGTCCCCGCTACGCATCCTCAAGCAGCCCTTGCAGTCGTGAAGGTTCCTCCTCCCTCCTTTCATGTCTGACTCTTTTGAGAGCTGCCAAGTCACTTAATCCACTGTCTGTCCGGGGAGAGAGAGGTGACAGCAAAATGCCCAGAGCTGCAAAGGTGCCCGTAGGTGCAGGGCTTCCCGTAAATCAGTCACAAGGCGCGGGTGAGAAGTTGCTTCATCCTGGTCGCCGAGCTATGAATTTCTTCTCCCTCTACGATGTTTTGTTGGTCTTCAGGAATAAGGCCTGCCAAGTAACCATGACTTTATGTGAATTATACACTCCATCCGACAAGCTGCGGGAAAGGCTAAAAACTCCAGAGTGAACTAGAAACAGATGCATAAACCTTTAGCAGCCGAGCATTTCAAGGCACCTGCTTACAACTGAAGGTAAAAGGATCACAGTGCTTGTTCTAGATCTCCGTGTCCTTTAYGCAGCTCTTCCTGACAGGGGTTTCAGGGGCAGAGCGACCCTCGGCTTTGCCTCTTGGCAGCCGGGAGCAGGGCAGCGCTCCTGGCACAACAGGTCACGGAGCAGGGAAGGTTTCAGGCCGCGGAAGGAGGTGTGAGACGCGTTGCTGGAAAGCAAGTCATCTTGCMAGAAAAGCTGGGACCTTTCTTCATCTTTATGCGGGGCAGCCTGGCTCTTGAACAGTTAATTACAGAGCAAAATGCAGCCCCCTGTTCTCATAAGCAGCGGGACTTGTGCCAAGGTTGCTCACCAGTTCAAATGAAGAGTAAAAGCCATATTTCCCTTGCTAAGAAGGGTGGTATTGCCTGGGATGGTATTCAAGGAATATTTTCTTGTAGATGTAATTTTTTTTTACACCTGGGCACTGTCATCCCGGAGTCAAACACATAGCTACCGAGAGGGAACTGCTGCAGCGGAGCAGCTCTGTGGTACCTGCTCTTAACGGGGAGGTGGGGAGCCAGGGCACTGAGCACCTCGGTGTGTCCACGTGRAGACACTGGTGGCAACTGGCACATCCCAGGAGCATCGAGCTTGCTGGAGCAGGCGCAGAGCCGCTGCAAAGCACAGGATTCGTGCGGTCTGGAGATGGGATGGGAGCATCAAGGGCTGAGAGAACACGGGTGCAAACTGACCCATGTGTTCAAGTACAGCTGGAAGTGAGGTGTGAACAGGAGGTTCCCTGTGCAGGGCGTTAGCAGCGCAGGAGAAGGCATGCTGTGGAACTAGGAATAATATAAGCATATATATATATGTATATCATTCTCTGTAATTCGACAGAAATTGCAGAAGGAAACGGGGAARTGGGACTTCCTTATTGCAAAGTCAGAAAACTGGCAGAAAAAAACGAAGAGGGCTGCGTGTGGCCGGGTGGGAGCGCGGGTGAGTGTCCCGCGGGCGAGCGCACCGCTCAGTGCCCTGTGCGGGGCACCCGGGGCCGCGGCCGCGCGGCTGCCGCCGCGTCTCACGGTGCTCCGCGGGAGCCGGGACACTCGTGTCGTGGTCGCGGGGCTGACTGAGGGTGACCGCGGAGCCGGGTGGGAGGGGGCCCGGGCGGCGGGAGAAGCAGCGAGCSCGCGGCTGGTGCCCGCGCTGGCGCGGCGCGTGGCGGCGGCCGCAGGGCGATGCCCTTGGGGCGCAGCGGCACCTCTGGGGCGGGATCCGCCTGGAAAGGTCGTGGCGGGAGCTGCGAGGCAGGGAGCGGACGGGGATGTGGTGGCAAAAAGCAGGAGCGCCCCTCATGAAGCCGCATGAAGCACCCCTCCCTGCAGGTGCCGGCCAAGCTGCCCCCTGCTCCAGGGCAGCGCCAGGCGGGCGCCCGCGGCGCTCCCTGTCCCCGGGTACGCTCCCCGCCACGTGAAGGCATTCCAGCGCAAAGTTGCGCGGGGAAGGCGCGGGCTGCGGCGCAGCGCGGTGCCCGCGGCCGCTGCCGCCCGGCGGGCGCCGCCCGGC